GCGCCCTGTGTCGTGTCCATCCCCGCCGCTTCGTTAGCAGCTCTGCGACGGAGCAGGTAAATCATTTAGCGCCTCGAACCTCTAAGCAACATCGCTCCCGCCCGCCCTGGCCGGCGGTTGGGAAAGGAGAGAGAAGGACACACAGGATCAGGCCCAGACGTGGCTCATTTCGTCCCTGGCCCTGCCCAGGGGCCAAGTCCAGCCCCAGCAGAGAGCACAGCCATGCCCGGAGCCACGGTGCACAGCAACACGCCCCGCACCGCAGTGCCCAGAGGGGTTGTGGACACCCGGAGCTCTTCGCACACCCAGACACGCTGTGCACACCCAGAGCTCTTCGCACACCCAGACACGCCGTGCACACCTGGAGAGCTTCATGCACCCAGACACACCGTGCACACCCGGAGAGCTTCGTGCACCCAGACACGCCGTGCACACCTAGAGAGCTTCGTGCACCCAGACACACCGTGCACACCCAGATTGCTTCATGCACCCAGACACGCCGTGCACACCTGGAGAGCTTCGTGCACCCAGACACACCATGCACACCCGGCAGTGGGACGCACACCCAGAGCACTTCGCACACCCCCGGAGCACTTCGCACACCGAGACACCCGGAGATGTCACGCCAAGAGCTCAGAGCAGCTCGGACGCGCCTCAGGCTGTTCCTGCTCCTCTTGTGATGCCTTTGCACATAAAGAATCTTTAACTAATGAATTATTAATTATTATTAATAAGGTTTAATGGCGCCTGTGGCTGCTGGAAGAGATGAGGAGGCTTGCGAGCGCTATCTGGCCGCAGTGGAGGCAGCGGGATGGGGTACCCTGGGCACAGGCGCCCCACGGACACCGGTCCCCAAGGGAGCCACAGAGTGGAAACGCAGCCCAGGCCCCCCACCAGCCTATGGGATTTCTCCACATTGCTTCCCCTTCATCTCCCTTTGGTCTCTATCCACGACCCAGGCCGAGCGGTGGCCAGGCCCACGGTGCCTTCACTGAAGAATCCACCCAGGAAGCCTCCCAGTGCCGTTTTTCTGCTCTCCCCCCATGTGAAGCGGAGAGAAGCCGGGGGCAGAGGGGGGCAGGTCCCCCGAGCGTGCGGAGCCGTGCAGGAGGCAGAGATCTCCGCAGGGAGATCCGGGAAATTAACTGTCTCGTGGCCTTTTGCCTCGGTTTTAATTTATCTGGCTTTTTATAGAAGCATTTGTTTTATCGCCTGCAGAGATTCTGGCCGGGGCCGGGGCTCTCCAAGCAGCAGGCTTCGCTGCAATTCCCGAAACAACCATGACTCAAGAAGCTCCTCACCATCTCAGGCTCTTATTTATTTATACAGGCCCCGACACTTGGATATCATAACCTTTTATTTATTTTCGGGGAACTCTTTTTTTGCTGCATGGAGGGTTTGGTTCGTTTGCATCTCATCGTAAGGACAGCAATGGAGCACGGGACGGCGCTGGGGCAGGGGACTCCTCACGCTCCCTCTGATTTCTCAGGGATTTTAAGCCCCCTTCTCCTCGCTCTCCTGGCAGAGCCACAGCCCAGTAAAGCGAAGGGGAGACCCATCCAGAGCGGCCGCATGCCGGGGCTGCGTAACCACCCTGCTTGGATTAGATTAGATTTGAAAACCGTGATGCATGCAGCGCCCGAGCGAGCGAACACGGCAAGAAAAACAGATAGGAATACAATTTTTTTTTCCGCCACCAATAAAACCATCGGCTTGAAAATGCTTGCACGAACTGTCTAAGCAACTGTAAAGGATGTTGGAAAAAATTGCTACCTGCTTATGGGTAATTCCTGGTCGGCAGGAAACATGGAAAAGCATTGGGATAATCCCAGCCGCCTGGACACGAGCGGCACCTCGGCAGCATCCTCCGCATGCTGGCAGGGCAGGAGCCAGCCCAGCCCTGGTGACCCCTCCGTGGCACAAAGGGACACCACCAACGGATAAATCACCCGGAAAACTCCCCGCATTACGAACTGTTTCAATTATAGGAGCGCAAAGAGATTCCTGGCAAGAAGGAGAGGGTGGCTGTGGGAGCCGTCAGAGCGGAGGCACGGCGAAGGGCCTGGCTGCAGGCACACAGTCGACAGCCCACGGAGCTGCGGGGGGTCCCGGCTGAACCCCCCAGGGACCCCGAGCCGGGGGGCTGCCAGTGGCCTCTGCACCCGGCGCAGCAGCGCGTGGCA